CTTGAAGCCGGAGTTACCATGAACAAGAATAAATTCATAATGATCAAATGAGAGCTGATGGTAGTCTTAAATTTGAAACCTTTCGCGTATTAAGGCTATTGTTCCAATGGCTTTGAAAGATTTACGGACGAAGATAACGATAAGTATGAGTATGATAAGGACGATAAGGATGCAACCGATATGTTTCTCATAATAATCATGGATATGGTTATTTGATGTTTTTTCAGTATGAAATTTTGTAAAACGTAAGTATTCTAATATAAAAATATTGTTTTAGTCTATCAATCAAGAATATCTTGATTATAAGTATATTTCTTTTTCGTATTAGGAGCAAAAAAATCTTGAAGATAAAGCCGTGTAAGAAAAAGAACTTAGAGATCTTAGGAAGAAACACCCAACAGATGTGGATAGAGGATTTAGATTATTTTATTGAATCTTGGAATGTAAGCTGTGAATTTATATATACATACAAATTTATTTATTTATTTTACTAAAAACAGTAAATAATTATTATAATAATAATAAGATAATATTTATTTATTACTATTAAATATATTCCAGAATATTCTGCTGAAATTACTGAAATTTCGCCGAAATCACTAAATCAAAGGAACGAAACCAAAATTTAGTTTTATTTCAAATTGATTAATAATCTGAATCAAATTAAATTGGTTAAAACTTTATTTGATTATAATTAAATATATTTTTTTATCTTAATAAACTAAAACATAAGATGATATTACACAACTATTTATATGTATTTTATAATTAAATATGATTGATCTTAAAACAATTCGCTAAAGGTTTAATTAACTATTTAGAAATTTTATAAATATATGCTTTAAACTTTTAAATTTGTGATTCATATAATTTAACATAATTATATAAGGATTTTTTTTTATCTTTATAGTAATATTTAATTATAAATTTAATATTTAAACAAAAACTGATTATATAAAAATAAACAATTATATTATAAATTAATAAATAAAAAAAAAAAAAGTTTAATTATTATTTACTATATTTCTTTTTCCTTTATTTTTTGAAATTTTTTAAAACTTCACTTAATACTTAATGAGTATAACATAAATGTTACCAAACTTTCAAGTAACTATTTCTTTGTTAATATACTAGTAAAAGGGGGATGTTCTGGGAGTATAGGCTCTTATCCTATTCCGTAACTGTTTGTATCACGTGATATTTACTTATTTATACATGCCCCTAGTAAAAAATCCTTTTGATAGCAATTGTTAGCCAATTATATTTTGATGAACATCAAACTAACCAATCTATAATTATAAAAATAATAGTGATATTTTTCTACCAACTCAAAACTCGGACTACCTTTGACTTTTATAACAATTACCGTTTTAAAATAAACAATACAATATTTTCTGACAACAAAAATTTATCAATAAAAAATATTTAAATACTCAAACTCAGACCTTATTTCTATAACTATATATTTTAAGAACCTTTTTCCTAGAAGCGGAAAAGAACTAGGAGGAAAAAGATGTTGAAAAGATGGAGAAAAATGAACGAGAAGATACAGAAGATAATGGTTCCTGGGAAGAAGATGAAATTAATGAAAGCCATCAAAGGAGAAAAAAGAAGGTTGGCTGTTCATACCTAGGAAATTCTGGATGGGGTTATTGCACCTGGAGATGGGCACCTGCTAGATTATTTTTAGCTAATGGCCCCATTTCAAGTTCTAAATTGAACCAGAAGATAATGGTTCTAGGCTATCGAAATGCATTTACCAAATGATGAAATAGCCGTTGTTATTAGTATATAGTAATACTAGTTTCTTTAGTTATATTAGTTAACTTAATTTATTTATTAATTATAATATTTGTTATATTTATTAGTGTTTTTTATATATATATATATTCTCTTTTTTTTATTTTAAAGTGCGACAGATTTGCACAATTTTTTACATACATAACATATATTTCTAGACCGTGTTTATAAATCAAACTCTTATTTTCTAATCCTATTCTCCTACCCTCTAATAAAAAAATATAAGCTCTTATTTTCTAATCCTATTCTCCTACCCTCTAATAATAAAATATAAGCTCTTATTTTCTAATCCTATTCTCCTAACCTTCTAATAATAAAATATAAGCTCTTATTTTCTAATCCTATTCCCCTACCCTCTAATAATAAAATATATAATGTTCGTTAGAAGTTGAACTAACAAGTAAATCCAAGACGAATGAGATTATAAATGAATTAATTATCGTGTCTTCGTTTCAGTCATCTAATGGGAAAAGATTAAGATGATAAGGTAAAAATGAGAGAGATAAAAAATTTTGACATTAAAAATTTTCCTTATCAGAAAGTCAATTTTTGGACATCCATGAATAATAATGTTAGTGAAAATGACGTCTTCTAATACATTATAATGATATTTTTTTAGGATGTACTTTCTGAACTATGTAGACAACAATAGCTAATAGCGGTAGGATGCGGGATCTACATAAAAAATGATTTGAAATATTATATCATATCATATCATATCATAATAATAATATCATTGCATTACGCTTGTCCAGTTGATAATAACAACAATCCATCTCCATGACTTCATCCATGCTAAGCATTGTAAATGCATACATACAAGTTTTCCATTATGAATCACGACATCACAACGTTCTTCTAGAACAATTCCTAGAGGCCACAAGTTCAAAAATTAATCTTGTTGCTTCAATTGAATTTCCACCAAGATCAAAGAAATTAATCAGTATATATATAAGCAGGTTGAAAAAGTTGAGTCAAAATATCATGAATTTACTGTTCGAATTAGCTCCAGTAGTTGACTGTGATGTAATTCGGCA